CAGCCTCCACCACTGCCCCCCCCCTCCACACCACCTTGGTGGCCCAGCCCCAGTGAGCGGTTCTGCTGCCGGCCCAGGAGGACCGGTCCAGCTGCGTTCGGGTCGCCTGGTTCTGATTGGGACCTCCTGTCTCCTCAGCAGCTGAATGTTGGGGTTGGACCTGCTGGTTCTGGTTCTGGTTCAGCTTCTACTTCCTGACTTTCCAAACTGTGAAGGTTTAGATCTATTTATTAATTTCCTCTGATATCGACTCTTCAGTTTAACTTTCAGGGTTTTTCTGTTTTATTTATTCTTGTTTTTCTGAATAATTTGGTCTCATTCATAAATAATGTGAAGAAAGTCGAGGTTTCTGATCTACTTTAACAGATCTAACACAGACTGAACCAATCTGACACAGATTTCTATGTTTGCTTAGAGGTACGGCGCACAGAGTGACTCATAGCTGCTCCCTGCTGCTCAGCTGGCTGAAATGAAGCCGTGTTCAGAAACAGTAGAAGCTGCAGAGAGCAGCTGGTTGATGATCCAGATGTGAAAAGGTTGAATGTTCTGAACTAAAAGCTCGTTAATTTAAAACCATCAATAAATAATGAATCAGTGAATCGTTTACTTTGGTCTGATTTAATCTCAGTCTAAATCAATAGACGGCGTCAAACAGGAAGTGATCATTTAGTGTGAAACTAAATTAATACGGCAGAAGAAGAAACATCTCAGACTAAAGAGTTTCAGCAGAGAAATGAGTTTTATTTAAAATAAATAACAATACTGTGACACACAAACGGCAGCAAAGAGTCCATGAAATAAACTTGTTTAACTTCCAGTGTTAAATACTGAAACTCACAGTTCATTTTAAATCTGTTGGATAAATCCCATATGACTTTAATCCACTCCAGGGGGCGCTCTGCTGATCAGGCAGACCTTTGATCCACGGAAACCTTTTAATTCCGGTTTAGATTAGTAACCTTGAACCTCTGAAGGTTTCATCAGCAGACGAGACGCTGAACTGCAGAACGAAGGGGAAGCTAACGGATGTTCAGGCAGAAACGACGCTGCATTCCTCCATGCTAACAGGCTAAGCAGCTAGCCGAGGTCGGTTCCAACACGTTGGTGGCAGCTGCAGAATAAAAGTTTACCTCATCAGGAGGAACGCCTCCTGATGCTAAATCACGCCATGCGATGAGCTCATGGTGTGAAGAAACGGGTCAATAGCTTAACGGCTACAGACCTAAAAAATGGCTTCTTGCAAAGATTTAGAAATTATAGATCTGTATCTCACAGAGCTGAACTGTTTTAGTTTGCCTTGTTTTAAACATCTAAAACCAGTTAAAACACAACCTGTCAGACTGTTAGCTGTTTCCGACTAGCAGTTAGCTCTGTCCGATTAGCGGTTAGCTCTGTCCGATTAGCGGTTAGCTCTGTCCGACTAGCGGTTAGCTTCCACCATTCAGAGAATCTTAATTTCTCTATAAATCAGTCAGTAAATGGAGTGAATTTACTGACTGATTTTCTAATCCTCCTTCATCTGACCTCCATGAATGAATAATAATGCTAACGGCTAACAGCGCCGTGTTTTTCACAGTCTAGTGGCGGTTCCCGGTGATGCGTTCAGGCATCAGAGGACATTTGAGGCTTGCGGTCATTCTGTGGTCGGATCAAAGCGGGATGGCGGCTGATTCTGGCTGCAGCCTCCATTAGAGTCCAACCTGCTTCGTTCAGATGGAAGCAAAGATGCAGTGATCTTCCACAACTCCTGCAACGCAAAGAAAAAAACTAGCATTAAAAGACAATTACATAAAAAATATGAAATAGCAATAAATAAATATTCTGATTAAAGGAATTGATTTTATTGATGAACTGACAGTTAATCCCAGAGATAAAATTCAGTTTATTTAACAGACTGCTAGAAGGTTTTCTATGGAAGGAAACCCAGTCTGACTTTGCTGCAATCCCTCCATGTTACAGTCAGAACAAGCATGCATAGGGTGACAGTGGAAAGGAATACTGAATGTTAACAGGATGGAACCTCCAGCCAGAGACGGGAGTAAGTCCCATACCTGCAAGTCCTGAGTCACCTGGAAGGACGATCAAACAAATCATTTTCTTTTTCACTAAACCCATTTTAGTCTTTTTCTTAATGTCTGCTGATAAAGTAGTAAAATAGATCAACATGAATGAATTTTAAAAACTGATTTTTATTTGTAAAAATAGATTTAATCACATTACTGTATATTAAAAAGAAACACAGTAAAAGTTAGAATTTGCTTCTTTCAACAACAGACGCTGGAGCTGGAGCTCCATGTTTGTGGGAAAATGTAGTTTCTCTTGTTTCATATATTAATTTATACTATTTAATCACTATAAAAGTTTTCAATCAGCCTGTTTGACCTGCAAGGCCACATGCTGCCTGAGTGAGGCTGTTTGTAGACCAGACAGAGCTTCTTCCATAACAAACCAGATTCTTTCTCAGGTTTATTCATAACATGTTACTGTTTAACCAAAGTGTCTGTAATTAGTTTTGACTCTGACTACTTTCCATTGATGTCAGTAAGGAGGAAAGAACGCTGCTCAGATCAGAACAGGACTGATTACCGTGCAGTAAGGGCCGTATGACGAACTGTTCTCACTTTGCAAAGATAAAAATAAAGTATAAACTGATCAATACTTTTTTCCAACTATATCATACAAATAGAAACATGAATTTCTCCTTTTGTGGTCCGGTTTCCATGGTAACAATCAAATAGTGTAAATGAAAAACAACATAGGAAAAGTTGGAAAGCATTTAATCCATCAAGAGTGAGAAAGAAAAGAGAGGGGCGAGAGAGAGAGAGAGAGAGAGAGAGAGGAATCAGAACAGACTGGGAGCCGTTTCAGACGTCCGATAGGTTCAAACCTCTGCAGCGAGTCCTGACCAATGGGATCTGATGATGATGATGATGATGCCGCCATGGCCAAACACGCACTCAGCTGGCGCCCTGGATGCCTCATCCAATCAGCATCCACCAATCTATGCGTTACGCTCAGCCTGGACTTCCTTTGATCTGCTTATATTAGCATATTATAATATCTCAGCACTGTGAGCATCATCACTGGCAGCTGTGCTCATATTTTTATTCTTAATAATATTGATACCTTTATATTCCATTTTATTATTTTCCTAATAGTTTATGTGTAGATAATGCTTATTATGCCCTAACAACAGGTAAAGAGTAAAATGGTAGTTGGTGATAAAGGTTTTCCTGATGATGATTCCTCGTGGCGTGGATGGATCCAGCTCAACGGTTCTGGTGTTTCAGCTCATGGATGCTAACGAACTGTTTGGTTTAACTAAATCTGATAAACGAAGGGAAACACAGAGCAGGTCTTTCTCTTTCCATCCTGCCCATAAATCATGGGAGGTATGAATAACTTCCCAGCACAATCTCACTGTGAGAGGCAGCGATCTTTGCATCAGTTAGAAGCCAGAGGTTTAGCCGGTTAGACGGCGGCGTGTCGGCGTCATGCTGAGGAGAACAAACGTTCACAGGATCCCGGTCTGGAAACATCAACATTATTTCTGGAATCAGAAACACTTTAATGATCCCAGAGGGAATGATCTTTGTTCTGCGCTGCAGGTGTGAAACAGCTAGCTACAGACGCACCGTAACCATGGTGATCACATCTGGAAAACGCTTTGATGCTTTAAAGCAGCCGACTTCATTACGGACACGCAAAGAACAGGCTAGCTTCTTTCCTCTGGATTTAGATGGATGATTATATCTAAGCTGAGGAAACATCAGCAGCAGGAACGCTAACAATATAAAACTAGTTTATTAACTTATCAGCAGCTCAACCAAAACATGGCAGATCGTACATGTTTTTATTTCCTGTTGTCGTGTAATCTTTGCAGCCAAAACGCTTGGCTTCCATTTTCTGATCTTCACTCATTAGACTGATGCAGGTGTTCCAACACATACTTTAAGTATGTGTGTATGTGTGTGTGTGTGTATATATATATATATATGGACTTTTAAAACTCCAATACCAAAAACGTCCAGAAGATGGCGGAAGTACATCTATATCTAGTGTGAAGAAGAGGTGGCGTTTGGTGAGGAACTTGCGGTTATTGACGCTGGTCCATCAGCTGTTGCCGTAGCTCCCGGCTAACGCTTTGAGTGCGCGGCCGCACTAACAGCAGCTTGATGACTAGGGTTTAACTGATGTTAGCGTAGCACCTTTTAGCTGCTGGATGCGTACATAAGGCTTCCTGCAGCGCAGCGAGCAGAAGCAAGCGCCTGGTTGACCTGACTTCCTGCTAAACGGCTCGCCATCTGACCCCGTCTCCTCCAGCCACGCCCCTCGCCATCTATTTATCAGACCTTTATCTATGGTGGGGTCATCTTCCCCGGAGTTCATGACCTGCATGGTTCCTGCATGGTTCCTGCATGGTTCCCGCTCCATGCCATTCCGTTCTCTCCATCGTCTTTCTCTCCAAACACAAAGTTTCATTTATTTATTTTTTGACTTTTAACTCGTCTCTCCGTTGAACGGAGCCGTAAACGGAACCAGGTCACTTTCCCTTCAGCGCTGAACCACAATCCATCTGGAGACATGAGCAAGAAACGAGAGGAGGAGGCAGATGCTTTCCTAGACCCACCCCCTTCTTCTGATTGGCTAATGCTGTTAGTTTCAGAGCGCTGCTTTGCTACCATTGGCTGACAGGAGAGATTTTGATTGTCTTGTTTTATTTATTAATACTTTAATCCCTGTCAGGATGACTCAGGCTAAATAAAGCCATGATTATCTAATCATTTATTTACTAATAATGATAATAGAATCAACATGATGGCAGTGACTTGGAAAGTCTCACATCAAGTCAATTCACAGGTCAGAAAGGCCAGGTCAAAGTCAAGTCTTTTGTTAATTTTAATCCAGAAGTCACAGGTCACCATCTGGTGACTCGAGGCAGACTCGTGTCAAGTCATTGACTCGAGTCCCCCCCCCATCTCTGCCTCCAGTAGAACCAGGCTCAGTATTAACGGCCCAGTGCGGTTCTGGAGGTCAGAGGCAGAACCAGGGCTACTTTCTATGTTAGAGAGTTAGAGGCAGCAGTAAGTCCTGCAGGGTCTTCATCTGGGACAGAGACACGGCTAAACCCATGAGTCATCATCTAGGAGATGATGTGTCTAAAGATCTCCATCGCCGGCTTTGTCTGGGACAGAAACAGAGTTAAAACGTTTCAGTAAAACTTCTCTCACCAGCTGCTCAATGCGTTCATAGAGAAGAAACTGTGGGAAGTTTAAGGGGACGAGTTCCACCATAAACCTCCAGCGTCCGTCCTGCAGATCCTGCAGCTGGGACAGACAGTGCATGAAGTGATTGTAGGCCTCACAGCAAACGTCCATGTGCCGCAGACTGAAGTTCATCCTGTGAGACAGAAAAACCAGACCTGAGATACGCATCAATACCCAGAGCAAGCAGGACATCTGATATCATCAAAGACTTCCTCCTTTGTTAGTAATAGAAACTAAACGCCCAATCAGTGAGCAGTAAGAGAGACCAGATCAGATAGAACTATAGAACCAGAACAGACTCCTCTGATCCAGAGGAAATTTCAGAGTTAATCAACTGTCTTCATTTAAGGAAGTATTCCCTTACTTCAGGAAAAGGTTACAGAAAGCTTAAAAAAAAGTTAAAATCAATCCACTGGACTTTGTTTCCAAGTCTGAAGACGTTTCTCTTCCATCCAGGAA